ACTGTAGCTTTGGTATCCTGGAATATACCAGAAGAAGTCAGGGAAGTCCCAGACAGTCACAGAATCCATGACCTCCATGACAGTTGTATCCTTACTGATTAGTGACTGATTAATCATGCAACCCTGACATTGTCATAGCATAGCATGTAATGACATGTAATATCTGTTTATTTTATTTATTGTATTGTGTCCAGCACTCAAATGCTTTGACACAGGATTGTCCCTCAAAATGTATATTTTATCGTTTTAATTCAAATCTATCCTTTTGTAACCCTTCTGCCCATCTAAGTTGGCAGTGACAAGGGTCGGGTTCTGTATCTAGGGGTTCCGTTTCAATAACGCAATGCAAAACCGGCTCGAGCCCCCACCCAGTGACCTGGGAAAATTACATACCACCCCCTGGGCTCCTCTAAGAGGCAATACTTCCCCTCTTGCAAGCACGGAGTCTGAGTGTAGCAGAAAATGTTTAATAACATGAGGTAAACGACATCAGCATTAAATTGGAAAAAACACCACAAACAGGATTCCTAACACAAACCGTGAGCAAAAGACCCACCCCAGCAAATTGGGCCATGTCCTTTCCCTTTGGTTCTTGAATCCAGCAACCCAAAAATCACCCAGAGTCCCCAAAGTTCAACACCCCCAAAATCTCTTGGGTCCAGCAACCACCCAAAGTCCCAAAAGTCCAACAACCCCCAAAGTCTCTGTCCCTGGTCAGTGCAGCCCCAGAGTAAAAGGGGAGGGGCACGCAGGGTGTTAAGGGGCACTTTACGTGATCCGAGGCCGACCGGCCATCTCTCCGTGGGGTTCCGCCGCAGCCTTCACCACGAGCCAGTCCACTTCCTCCCGTCCCACAAACTGCTCTGCAAGCTGCTCCGTGCCGCTCTGCTCACCAACCTGTGAGCCGCTCCAGCTGTCCCCGCAAACAGCTCCGCTTGCCGTTCCTTGGGCCACTCCAACTATCCCCACAAGGCTCCACACCGCTCACTGCTCCTCCTGCTGTCTCCGCAAACTGCTCCGCCAGCCACTTAGCAATATAGCTTCAGACTCCCATACTAGTTAACTGAGTTAGCACTCAGTGATCTCAGCTCTTAGTAATTTTAGCTCTTTTGTGATTTCAGCTCTTAGTGATTTCAGCTCATAGTAGGGGAGCCCCAGTGCTGGTGCACCATTGGCCCAAAGTGAATTCAGCTCAGCAGCCTGTAATTAGACTCCTAATGGAATCAAAGTTAGCTCTGACATTCAACAGTAGAGAGAGGAGATGGTGCAATTGGTGTTTCAGGCCCTCAAAAGGGGGCCATACCATCAGGTACAAATATCTATCCCCATCCTCTCTCAATTCACTGGGTTGTGGAACCCATGTCCCCTGTCTAGCGAGTGCTACTTAGGTGATGGTGAGATCCTCTGTCATAAAACAGTTTCATTGTCTTTGATTCACATAATCAGGGTAACAACACTTTATTCCTCCTGCCCCAATAACAGAGAAACAGGAGATCCCACCCCATCCAAAGTAACCACTATCAGTTGCTGTTGTCTCATGCCAAGCGGGTGGGTGTGCCTATGCAAACAAGATCAGCCCCTGGAGTTCTTTTCCACAGTCGCCATAATTCACCACCAGATGTCAGGGTAGAGCTCATCCTGATTCTGCTTACACTTTAATAGTGTTAGTTCCTTATCTCATGCCCCGAAGCATAACAGTCATCCTTGTATGGAGGCCCAGATAACCCAGTGGAGCTCAATCACATTATGGAAGTCACATGCTTTGTCTTTAAGAGCAAAAGTGCAAGTCTTCTATTACTTATAGATCAGTATTGACAGAAATTTAACCTGACTATATTTGCTTTGAAGAAGTGCTGGATGTACCATTTTTCCTGGACTCTGATGAAAGTCATGAATTTCATTAGCATCACCCCCAACCATCCCATCCATTATTTCTCAATAGCTGTATGATAGTTCAACTCTAGAGAATAGACGTGTTTCTGAAATAACTCTGTGCTCCTATTCCAGTTGGTCAGAGTACATTCTTATGAACTAGCTTTACACAAAAACATACATATTTTTTCAAAACAGCTTTTTAAACATAAAATCAAAAAGCTTTAAGGGTGCCTAATCTATACAGGCATTCTATCTCTCTCTAAACTATACAGAGATAGAATAATAGAAATGTAAAGCTGGAAGGGCTCCCAAGAGGTAATCTAGTCCAGCCCCCTACACTGAGGCAGGACCAAGTAAATCTAGACTATCTAGACTAGGTGTTTGTCAAACCTGCTCTTAAAAACACCCAATGCTGGGAATTCCACAACCTCCCTTGGAAGCCTATTCCAGAGCTTAATTACCCTCATAGAATTTTTTTCCCTAATATAACCTAAATCCTCCCTATAGATTAAGCCCATTACTTCTTGTCCTACCTCCAATGGACACAGAGAACAAATGATCCTGATCCTCTTTATAACAGCTCTTAACATATCTGAAGACTGTTATCAGGTCCCCTCTCTGTCTTCTTTTCTCAAAACTAAACATGCCCAGTTTTTATGACCTTTTCTCATAGGTCAGGTTTTCTAAACCTTTTATCATTTTTGTTGCTCTCCTCTGGACTTTCTTCAGTTTCTCCACATCATTCCTAAAGTGTGGTGCCCAGAATTGGACACAGTACTCCAGTTGAGGCCTCAGCAGCACCAAGTAGAGCGAGACAATTGCCTTTCATGTCTGACCTATGACACTTCTGTTAATACACCACAGAACTATATCAGCCTTTTTTGCAACTGCATCAAATTGTTGACTCATATTTAATTTGTGATCCACTATAACCTCCAGATCCTTTTCAACAATACTACCACCTAGTCAGTTATTCCCTATTTTGTAGTTTGCATTTGATTTTTCTCTCCTAAGTGTAGTACTTTGCACTTTTCTTTATTGAATTTCATCTTGTTGATTTCAGACCAATTCTCTAATTTCTCAAGGTCATTTTGAATTTTAATCCTATCCTTGAAAGTGCTTGCAACCCCTTCCAACTTGGTGTCATATCCAAATTTTATAAGCATACACCCCACTCTATTATCCAAGTTATTAAGGAAAATATTGAAATGTTATTGGACCTGAGACTGACCCCATTAGACACACACTCCCAATTTGGCAGCAAACTGTTAAAGCTACCCTTTGAGTATAGTCTTTCAACCAGTTGTGAACCTACCTTACAGTAATTTCATCTAGACCACATTTCCCTAGTGTGCTTATGAATTGAGAATGTCATGTGGGACAGTATCAAAATCCTTACTAAAATCAAGATATATCACTTCTACTGGTTCTCCCCTACCCATTTGGCTGTAACTCCGTCAAAGAAGAAATTTGGGTGGCTTGCCATGATTTGTTTTGGACAAATCCATTTCTTATAACCCTATTATCCTCTAGCTGCTTACAATTTGATTGTTTAATAATTTGTTCCAGTACCTTTCCAGGTATCAAAGTTAGGCTGACCAGTCTATAATTCCCTCGTTCCTCTTTTGTTCCCCTTTTTAAAGAAAGGTACTATGTTTGCCCTTCTCCAGTCCTCTGGGATCTCACCCATCCTCCCTGAGTTCTCAAAGATAGTTGCTAATGGGTCGGCAAGGCCGGTGCTACCATTTAGGCAAACTAGGCGGTTGCCTAGGGCGCCAAGATTTGGGGGCGCCAAAAAGCGGTGCCCCCAATTTTTTTTTACAGGGTTCCTACACCCCCTCCCCGAGCGTGCAGTCACCGCTCCACTTCTCCCACCTCCCGCAAGCCTGGGAGGGGAGGAGAATTAGAGCGGGGGCGGCGTGCTCGGGGAGCAGGCGGAGCAGAGGTTAGCTGGGGTAGGGAGCTGCCGCAAGGCTCCCTGGGCCAGGGGGGGTGGGGAGCTGCCGCAGGGGTGCCTCAGGGCGGGGGGGCGGGGCTGCCGCAGGGGTCCCCACCCCAGCTCACCTCTGCTACGCCCCCTCCCCAAGCACGCCGTTGCTGCTCCACTTCTCCCGCCTCCCAGGCTTGCGGCGCCAATCAGCTGTTTGGCGCCGCAAGCCTGAGAG